GTGTGCTGCATTGTGCCCCTTTTCCAGGTACTGTGCATTTTTTTTCCTGTTTTGCACGGTTTTTTGGGAAGGGTTAATTTAGTGATATCTTTCAATTTTCTCTGTGTCTGTGTGCTGCATTGTGCTTGGTGGAGTAAAGCGTGTACACGAAGCTGAGTTAGTTTCACTTTGCTTTCCTGATGGCTGTGCTGTGGGGATTTCACACACAAGTGCTGCTGTTTTAAAACAGTTAGAGTCTTTTCTTTGTGGGGCTTGCTGAGCTTTTTACAAATTGCCTGAAGAAACCGTGAAAGTCTTTTTACTGTCCTGCCTTCTCTGAGTTATGAAAGGGTTACAGGGGAAAGGGCGTATAACTTTGATGCCCACACAGTAAAGAGCGATGATTGATACCGATGATTTTTACTGATAAATGTATCAAATGAGAATGAATGAATGTAAATAAAATGTGGTAAAAAAGACTTTAAGGGTTAAATCAAGCCCATTATGAAGGGAACAGCTTTCCCACTGTACTTGCATTGTAAAATTTTCTTCGTCTGAAGAGATGGGGGGGTCCTTCCCCCCCAAGTTAGCAAACAGGAAGTCTCGGGCCCTTTAAAAGGGGACGCCCTGCTGAATGCTAAAGAATGCCTTGTGTAAACAAGGCAGACGGACAAGCCCCAAAGCATACAAGTAATTCAAAAAAACAATGGCTGCAACGCACAAAAAACGCCTTCGGAGGGGGCCCAGCAGGCCCCTGCTAAACCCCCGATTGAAAATGCTGTGGCTGCCTTTTGAAGCGATTCACCCCAGAACCCCAAAGAATTTGCTACCGAAACAGTTTTGTGAAGGGAAGTGGTCCAAAATTATCCAATCGTTGTGGGGTCTGATTGCAATAAGGGGGTTTTGGTTAGGTTTTTCTGGGATAAAGTTTTTCCGGTTTTTTTTTTTCCCCCCCTTTTGGGTTTTTTTGTCTTCCTGGTCATGTTTTTGATTTTTTTTCCTGGGGCTGTGTTCTTCTATTTTGTGACTTAGATGAACGTTCAGAGCCTTTTATGCCCAATTCATGAAAAAATATAATTTAAAGGGGTTAATTTTTTTCTTGCAATGTTTTAATATATATATAATAATTATTTATATATTTTCAACACACACAAGTGAAGGAAATAAGGATTTTTTCCCCGTGATTTTGAAAAGTTTGCCCACTCACAAAAAATTGATCATCTAAAGTGGAACTGCACGCATTTGGTACCCCAAACCAAAAAAGTGATGTAATTAATTGTTTAATTATTAAAGCAAACTCACCCATCCATTTCCATCTCTATCTTTTACTGAGAATTAATTTTGAAAAACACCCCCTGGTATTTCTGGCAGTGGCCATCTTGAGTCAGGGCAGATGATTCAGGGTAAATGATATACTTTCCTATCTATTTACTAGTGCTAGGAGCATAAGGATTAAAAATAGTCCATATTCAAGTCTTACTAGATCACTTCATGCTGGCCCCTTTGCAGGTACAGCTACAGCGAAGGAAAGAAGTATTTGATCCCCCTGCTGATTTTGAATGTTTGCCCACTCACAAAGAAATGATCAGTCTAAAAATCGAATGGTAGGTGTATTGTAACACTGAGAGACAGAATGGCAACAAAAAACTCAAAAGAAATGCATGTCTAACAAATTATGCACTGATTTGCATGTTCATGAGGGAAATAAGTATTTGATCCCCTTCACAAAACATGACTTAGTACTTGGTGGCAAATCCCTTGTTGGCCAACTCGAACTGTCACATTAAAGGTGGAAATGATTTATCTTTGTCTAAATTTTTTACATCACAGAAACCTGACATTTTAACTGGGGGTGTGTAGACTTTTTATAGCTACTGTATATTGATTTGCATGTTCATGAGGGAAATAAGTATTTGATCCCCTATCATTCAGCAGGATTTCTGGCTACCAGGTGTCTTTCATACAGGTAACAAGCTGAGATTAGAAGCAGTCTCTTAAAGGGAGTACTGCTAATCTAATTTTGTAACCTGTATAAAAGACACCTGTCCACAGGACAGTATCTGGCCAGCACCGAATATCACAACAGCAAGAGTTTGGTCGGCACAGTGCAGTGCAAAGCAGTGGCAGGGGGAGGCAGCTTTCTGAATCCTGAGCTCTCCGCCTCCCCCTACAGGACAGTACCTGGCCAGCACCGCCCACAGCTGTGTGGATTGTAATAGAAGAACAGTCTGCCCCGAGGCACTGGTGATTGGAAAGCAGGACACAGAGAGGATCAAAAGGGAGGGTGGAGGTTAGCTTGCAGCGCTTAGCAGGGAGAGTGGTGTACATAGGAGTGCTAACAGAGTTTTTTGGTGTGGAGCTGAGCAGAGAGGGGAATGTGGAGATGAGCAGAGAGGTTTGGGGTGTGGGAGGTGAGCAGAGACGGGGGTGTGCAGATGAGCAAAGAGGGGTTTGGGGTGTGGAGCAGAGAGGGGTGTGGAGGTGAACAGGGAGGTTTAGGGTACAGAGGTGAGCAGAGATGGGGTTTTGGGATATGGAGGGTGAGCAAAGAGGGGGGTTCGGGGTACCAAGGTGAGAAGGGGGGGTTGCAGTGCAGAGGTGAGCAGAAGGGTTCTGGGGTGCAGAGATTAGCAGGGTGATTGGGGTCCAAAGGTGGGCACAGTGGGTTTGGGGTGCAGAGTGGGGAATGTACACTGTGATTTTGCAGCGCATTCATTTGAATGGGCTGCAAATCGCACCGGAGTGCAGAAAAAAAGCAGTGCATGCAGTGGTGTAGTTAGGTTTTGTGCTGCCTTAGGCAACACAAAAATCGTCTGCCCCCACAGACACTGACCAACACCACCTCCCTTACCCCCTCCCGCGGACAGAGCCTGACACTGACCAACAACACCCCTGCCCCCCACCTGGGAGAGCCTTCCACTACTCCCTCCCTGGTGATAGAGGGAAAGACACTTATTTTCACAGCTTCGGACATCCCCAGGAATGAGAGTCAGGCTCTACATACACCATCAAGCAGCCTGCAGTTTTTCGTGGATCCCACCTGGTTCCCATGGTGCACATGTCCTTTCTTTCATCCCTTCTTCTGGGGGGAGGTGCTGCCCCCCTGAAAAAATGCCACCCTAGGCAAGTGCCTTGTGCTAAGTATGCACCTAAGTGCATGCACTACTTTTACAAAACACTCTGTACCAAACCATATGATACTGCGGTACTGCAATCTGGTGCCTTCACACACACTGCATTTGCGATCTGTTTGGGATGCCATTAACAATTCATTGGTACCTACATGCAAATCACAAGGGCAATGCAATCACCTGCAGTGCGGGAAACGCACATGGAGCACGCCTTTCCCATACCGCGATCTGGTGTGAATTGGCTCAGAACACATTGGGCTAGCCATTCTCAGCCATCCATGTCTCTATGCTGAGAAATCACTTAGAAAATCACCCCTTAGCATTTCTGGTTGTGGCCATCTTGAGTAAGGGCAGATGATTCATGTAGAAATTATTTCCTGGAATTCATCTGCCCTTAGCTCAGGCATACAGGCAGGAGGGTGTGCATTGCTGAGTAAACCCCTCAACCCCTCCTGAAGACTCCTGGGATGGATGACATCATGTTCCTAGGCATGGGAACTAGGACGTAACTAAATAAATGTAAAAAACAGTTTAAAACAAGTAAATATAATAAACTTTCCTATAGGACCAAAACAACTAATCAACATAATTATGAAAATAATAGTCAACTATTTTCATAATCGATTAGTTGATCAGTCGATTAGTTGGCCTGCATACAGTATGCACTATTTGTTTACATGTCAGAAAATACAGTGCAGCACACATACAACTTAGTACATCGTTCATACATGTCAGTATACACAGTGCAGCACACATACAGCTTAGTACACCGTTCATACATGTCAGTATACACAGTGCAGCACACATACAACTCAGTACACCGTTCATACATGTTATCAAGCGCCTGAGAACTTGTGAGTGTAAATGTGTGAGGAGCAATGCCTTGTGGGACATGTAGTCCTGGGCAGGAGAGGGCAGTGAGTGATTCTAAAGGCAGATGTTTTTTACTATGTTATGATGGCTTGCTATAGGGGTACTCTGAAGGCAGGAGGAGCTAGAAGTGTCGGTGGGGTCTCCAGAAGAGCAAAACCACTGCACAGAGCAGGTAAGTATGACAATTTTGTTGGGGGAAAAAAAAAACAACATTTCCAATCACTTTAAGGGGTCCGTGCAGGGAAGATCAACCTCTGAGCCCAGAGAAGCTGGAGGCTGATAGACTGGAGGTAATATATAATAAGGCATTACAATCACATTAAAAGTTTACCAGTATTGTGCATTATATTTAAAATGATTATATCCATGAAAGAAAGTCACAGCCTTTAGTACTACTATAATATAAAATAATTATATTCCCCCCTGCCCTTCATATAGCTTCATGTCTGATATCCACTTAAAATAACCCATATATCCTACTTCTATGTGTGAGATATAACGCACGCACGCACGCACGCACACACACATACACTAAAGGGCTAATTTTTTTTAACCGCTTCACGACTGCCCTATAGCAGAACTACTGCTACAGGGAGGCAGGGCTGCGCAAAATCACACACATATATATATATATATATATATATATATATATATGTGTGTGTGTGTGTGATTTTGTATTTCCATGTAGGGGGCGCGCGCACCCCCCCCTACCCGTGCCGCCATTGGGGGCTTCAGCTGTCAATCACCAGGTCCCGGTCAGAGATTCCTTGCCGGCACCTGGCGATCGCCGAGAAACACTGACATGGGAGAGGTCTGTATGTAAACAATACAGATATCTCCCCTGTCAGCTCCAGAATGCTGCTTTGTATTGCTCTGCATAGCAGTAAAACAGCACACAGTTAACCCTTTGATCACCCCAAATGTTAACCCCTTCTTCCTGCCCAGTGTCATTAGTACAGTGTCAGTGCTTTTTATTAGCACTGACCACTGTATTAATGTCAGTGGGGATGTCAGTGGCAGTTAGTCAGTTCCCTCCAGTGTCAGAATGCCTGCCGCAGTCCTGCTATAAGTCGCTGATCGCCACCATTACTAGTATTAAAAAAAAAACAAAACAGTATATATATACCGCACCATTTGTAAATGCTATAACTTTTATGTAAACCAATTAATTTACATATATTGGGATTTATTTAGCGAAGACATGTCGCAAAATACATTTTAGCCTAAATTTATGATGAAATTTGATTTTTTTTACATTTTTATAACAAAAATATTGTTTTTTTTTTTTTCAAAATTGTCAGTCTTTTTTGTTTATAGCGCAAAAGATTAAAAACTCAGAGGCAATCAGATACCACCAGGGGCGGACTGACCATTTTGAAACTCGGGCACTGCCCGAAGGCTCGGGGTCAGTAGGGGACCCCATGAGATGCCCTTGGTGCCTTTTTCATAGGCTTTTTTGAGTTTGGGCAAGGACATGGGGGCCCCATGAGCCCCTATTGCCCGGGGGCCCATTAGTTGTCAGTCCGCCCCTGGATACCACCAAAAGAAAACTCCATTTCCAGGGGGGAAAAAGGACATAAATTTCATTTGGGTGCAGCATTGCATGACCACGCAATTATTAGTTAAAGTAACGCAGCGCCGTATCGCAAAAAATGGCCTGGTCAGGAAGGGGGGTAATCATCTGGAGGGCAAGTGGTTAAACCCCACCGTGACAGGTGATTAAGAAAAAGCATTTTGCTGGTACTAAATATCTTATGCTGGCCATACAGGTATTGATTTTTCGGACGAGAATTTTCGAACAGAAATTCTTAGTACATTTGATGAATGGATGAATAATTTCTGAACCAAACCATATACACTGTCTGAAAACTGGTTCAATTGAGAAATTTTCTATTCTGCTCCTTTGAATTTTCCTGTCACTGTGGTAGAAAACGAATATTGATTTGACCCACTAACGATTAGAAAAATCAAATGAACATTCTTAAAACTTAATTTTCAAACCAAAAATGAATTTGTGTATGGCCATCATAAGTGACAGCAGGCCCAGTTTGTATCAATCTACCTATGTATGACAAGGGACTCTGTCATGCATAAATATTATATTACAGTCCTGTCTGAAAATCTGCAAAACAGAATGTTACTGCAGGTCTTTTAAAAAAAAAAATAGGTTTTCTTTAACCGCTTCCCATCTGCCTCATCTGCCCTACAGCAGAAATACTGCAACAGGGTGGCACAGATGTGCAAAATCATGTATGTATATATATATATATATAGGGGATTTTGCATTTCCGGGTAGGGGGCACGCGCCCTATCCACACCACAATTTTCAGCTGCGGCTGTCAATCACCGGATCCCGGACGAGGATTACTCGCTGGTGCCCAGTGATTGCTGAACATCTCCTAGATTGTGAGCTCCAAGGAGCAGGGCCCTCTAATCCCTCTTGTATTGAACTTTATTGTACTGTACTGTCTCCCTCCATAATGTAAAGCGCTGAGAAAACTGTCGGCGCTATATAAATCCTGTATAATATAATATAATAATCTCCAACGGGGAGGAGAACTGTTTGTAAACAAAACTGTTCTCCTCCCTGTCAACTTGTGCACACTGCTTTGGATGGCTGTGCACAGTACAGCCATGCAAAGCAGTGTGATTACAGTGAAGCACACGGACACAGCTTACAGTGAAACAGCACACAGTTAACCCTTTGATCACCCTCATGTTAACCCCTTCATGCCCAGTGCCATTAGTACAGTGTCAGTGCTTTTTTTAGCACTGATCACTGTTTTGGTTGCAGTGACATCAAGTCAGTTCCCCCCCAGTGTGAGAATGCCTGCCGCAGTCCCGCTATAAGTCGTTGATCGTTGCCATTACTAGTAAAATAAAAATAAAAAAATTCCAGTATCTATACCGCCATTTGTAAACGCTATAACTTTCAGGTAAACCAATTAATTTACACGTATTGGGATTTTTTTTTTAGCAAAGACATGTCGCAGAATACATTTTGGCCTAAATTTATGACGAAATTTGAATTTTTAAATTTTTTTACTGGACATGTTTATTAGCAAAAAGTCAAAAATATTGTTTTTTTCTCAAAATGTTCAGTCTTTTTTTTTTATAGAGCAAAAAAAACCGCACAAACGATCAAATACAGCCGAAAGAAAGCTCAATTTGTGGAGAAACAAAAAGACGTAAATTTCATTTGGGTACAGCATTGCATGACCGCGCAATTGTCAGTTAAAGTAATGCAGCACTGTAATGCAAAAAATGGCCTGGTCAGGAAGGGGGGTAAATCCTCAGGAGAGCAAGTGGTTAAATAATAATTTTGATTTCGGAGTCTGATGATATGTACCAGATTCAAATTCTAATCGAGTATATACATATCTCTTCTGTCTGTTATTCTCAGAGTGGATTGTATATTTTGATCTGAAAACCGGGTCTTCATATATTTACAATTTTGGTAAGCCATGAATTTGTGATTGTGTATTATATATGCTGATTTGTAGATTGTCTTTCTCATGGTATGGGAAGACTGAACCAATATACCGGTAAGTCATTCTTTGTGGCTGTATAGGCTCCTTTGCGTAACAGGGATGCTTGTGGATTCCTAGGATGCTTTGGATGTGTACCATGTGATTTCTGCCATTGTGCATTTCTTGTGAAATTGGCCTCCTCATTGTCCCTAACTTTCCCTATGGAAACAGCTTTTTTTTACTGTCCTTTGCAGCAGCCAGTCAGAAGGTGTGAAATGGGCTGAATATCATGTGCTGTATGCAGAGAAAGTTAGGTTAGGCAAAACATTGGTACTCGGGATTTAAACCTTATTTTCGGTCTATTTAGGAAACAGTCTTTTCCGCTTCATGCTTTTAATTATTTAATGCTATGAGTAAAAGCCATGGGGCTGCAGGAAGTTACTCTATGTTTAAGGGCTGGTTCACACCAGATGCAGTCCAGAGCATTTCTTTCTGCATCAAAAATGCATAGACTGTAGGTTATAGGGGTTCCAATGGCTTAGTTCACACATCAGTGCGTTTCAGTGCAGGAAAAAAAGTAGACCTTGCTGTATTTTTTTTGCACTGAACTGTTTATTTAAGATGAAGAAAAAATAAGGGGGGGGAAAAAAAAAAAACGCATCCGTGACACATATGCAAAAACATG